CGTTGTATCTGTCTGTCTGCAATTGAACTGTGTTAAAATACATTTTGATTACGATGTTTAGCCATTGCATTAATGGATGTGTTTTCATAAATTGAGATTGTTATTTGTTTTACTAGTCTGTTACTGTTACTTTACCAGACCAAGTGAATATTTTCCAGCTAAACTACACTATCCCTGTGAAAGTGAACAAAATCCAACCCTTGAGGGCACTTTATAACAAAAACCATCAAAAAACTGATGCTAAGATCTTTAAGGTGTATTCCAGTGCCCAAAGTACATGATTAAGGGTACTTCAAACCTGTTGCCCTTGTTTCTGCCTGTACATGAGGAGATATGAATAGAATTTCATACTCCTTATCTTACAAATATATTGAATAATTTTAAACTAATCAGTGCAACAGTTGACAAACTGTCGCAATCACTAAAGACGATAATGCTGACTTTGTTGGGAGTGTGGTAAACAAAAAATGACCACAACCAAACGTAAAGCATCAGTTTTTTACCACAAACTATTCGATATTTTACCAACTGAGCTATGATTTAACAGTAAGTGATAAGTTGTACCAATCAATAAACATCCTTTCTATATTGTTAAATTTGCAAATTCATTGGAGTCATTACCTGATAATGAAAGTCATTAGTCCGGTCTATTAGATATTATTTCCATATGGTTTTATGCCTATTCATCGTATGGATTTCATATTTCAACTAATCGTTATTATTATGATGACGTTTATTATTATTATTATTATTATTATTATTATTATTATTATTACTTGCAATGTCTCTTCATTCACTACATAATTTACAATTGAAAAGTGAAAGATAAACGTCATGAGTTAAGAAGTCGAAGCACATCAAATTATGAATAAATAACATTTTGTATTGATGACAGAATCACATGATAATTCATTTTTTTTTGTTTGCTATTATACTCTATAACCTTAATTTCTCAAACACAAAAAATAACCACATTTCCTCTTTCACTACTTCTCTATGGGAATGAAAGAAAATAAATGGTTATAGAGTTTTGACCAATCAAAATATAAACGATAGAATATCTCTAATAGATCGATTAATGTCGACTCTGTTAATAACCATTCCAATGATTGAATTTCAAGGTGATTGAAATTAGAATTAGACTGGTAAATCAAAGCAATGATTAAATGGGAGTGGAGATAAATAAATATTCACAAAATTTAACCAGTCGATTAACGAATTGTTATTATTATTATTATTAGGCATATATATTACAAATTGTTAGTTTATAGGTCTATCAATGAACTAGTGATTTTTGTTTTAATGATATGAATTTAATACATTTGGAGACGTGTCATAGGAAATGAGAATTTATCATAAATATTTGGTGGCGTGGTTTTCTTGGGATGGTAAGATGGTCATATCATGAACTGTAATGTATTCACAACTGATAAGGATTAATTGATGTAGAAAATTCAATGCTTTTAGGTTTAATAAGTTGAAGTGAATTACTAATGGAATAAATGAATGATTGTCTAATATTCAGAGACTGCATATTCGTACCACATTGTTTGTGTTATACAGCTTTTTTCACAACTGCACTCTGCTGACCCAGCCATTATTCGAATAAAGGCATTGTTCTGGAGTTAGGAATATTGACCAAACAGTAACGTTGGGGATTAAGAATGATGTATTAAAACGCTCGAAATGTGTCTAAGCAGCATAAGCTTCCACGGAAAGCTGAACTTAACTACTGAGAGACCTGGATTTTGCCAGACCCATTAATGACGAACATTGCTTAGTAGTGGTCATAGACGTATTTTTCGACAGGCCTGAAAGTATAGTGTATGTACATCAAGAAAGCACTGAATACACTACATCAAGTATTCATTTGTTTTTGGTTTTCCGTAAGTTATAGTTTCCGACAAGGGTTTAAATTTTCATCTATAAAATTTCATCATTTCTGCGTCCTGAACGTCATTAAAAATATCACTCAATATTCACTCGTATTAACCGCAATCGAAATGTTAGGTTGAACGGTTTATCAACAATTTCAAGAGTTCATTGCGTAAAACCGAACAGGAGAGAAGATTAGAGAAAATATTACGACATTTCTTGCTGGCGTACAGAATTGTAAAACGATTGGAGCGATTTCTCCGAACGAAGCAATGTTCAGAAGATAAACTGAAATACTGATAGACAAAATGAGGCTACATATTATGGGGAAATATTGGGCGGAACATGAAAATGGAGAAACAATACAACAATAGACATGAAGCGAAGCCCGTAAGATTCTCACCAGGTCAATTGGATATGGTAACTGAATTTCATCATACGATGATAAAGTGAGTACGAGGAATGGTCTTACAAAATAGAGGGAGAGTCATATCTGGAGTCAGGGTTGGTAATTTGAAATGGATAGGTCACGCATACGACATATACGTCCATACAGATGAAAACTGATAGACAAAATCAATACGAAAATCTGTATTCCTCCGAATATGTTCGTTGAATGACAAACAGTAAGAATGAAGCCACTTTCAAGAAGATTACGACAGATTCAAAGGGAACAAACCAGGATCAGAGAGACCTTGAATGACATAGCTCAAAATCGTTTGCAGTGGCGCAGGTGCATCCACTCTTTGTGTTCTCTCAAACCCTAATCTTCTGAATTCTTCATCACGCCTACCTTTCTCTTTCTAAACTTATCTCACTGAATTATACTTCTTGAATAATATCTTCTAATCCTAATCTTCTCCATTACTGCTAATACTTCTACTATCTCTACTACTTTGGGATTTGAATTGACAATCGTGTCTCTGTGGTAATGTGGTATGGCAAACTGAACTGATGTACTTACGTACGAAGTTTTACGTTGTAATTGACTGAACCAGGATCAGAATAAACTCTTATGGCAGGTCTTACCCCCAAATAAATATATATGTACAGAGAGTGAGATTGACTGATTGGTTACATGTTTATTGAGAATTTTAGCTTTATTGTATTCGGATTACCCTAGTTCCAAGCTTCCATTTAAATCGTAAATTTTTGCTGTAGCTTCTCCCTCTCATAAACTGAAATCGATTATTTTTGTACCCAGTACCCCATTTTTCCTATCATTAATGGTGGTGTCTCGTGCGGATACTGTTACTCGATTGCTCCACTGCGTGGTTTAATTTTGTATGTATATAAATGTATGTCTGAAATATAATATTAATTCTCGAATGGTTATCATCAGTTTTGTATTCTTCCTCTTGGTTCGAGGCTAGTTAGCAGTGGTGCAACTGTTAAGCATAGAGCATCCGTTTGCATGTCCTAATTTGAGAGTATTGGGTACTATAAGTTGTATAAATGTGTTGATAGGTGTTAGTGCATCAAATAAATAAGCGATTGATTCATTCAGTTAAATAAGTAAATATTAAATAATCTAAATCGAGCTAATTGCTATTGTTCAATATGATTTCAAACAACAGTCTAAATATCATGTAATAAAATAATATAAATATAATCTACAAATAATCAATCATCTATTAATCAAATGCAAGTCAAAACGGTGGCAATATTTTTCATAGGATGGTAGTATCAGGAAATAAATCTTAAAATCGAATTTCCACAATATCAATATTCGAAACAAGATATGAAGCATGATATTATTCCAAAACATATTATTCAATGAAGAAGCGAATTGATAATCAGCAGTAAGAGTAAAATGAAGTGAGTCTTTGTATTTAGTAAGCCTACTAGAATAAAACTGGTGGTATACAAAGTGAAGACATATTTGTAATGTGCGTAGAGAGGCATATTTGGTTATATACTCTGATGTTACTACATATATCTTTGAAAATTTTTCCCTCAACAAGAAATCAGTCAATATGTTAAAGAAGCTCTATTGTGTTTATGATGTATAGCAAACCATTTGAGGACATTGTCTATAATTCCATGTCAACCATAGGCGCTGTTTAGTTAAATGATATGTTAACTATCCATAACACTGATAAAATCAGTATTTCTTACAACTAAAAATACCTTAGGCTGATATTCATTTGTTACAGATGTTTAAAATTAAATTGACAAAACCTACCATTGAACAATAACGGTAGTTACAGTTAACTTATCAGTAGTAGATATTATTTAGCAAATCAGACAAGTTTTGAAGTAATCATGACATTATAGTATTAAGCTTTTTGAATCAGTTCTTATCAACCTAGGCGCCAGACCAGTTAAATGTCACTAATTAAACTGCACAAACTTAATTGGCCGGGGATCACCCGGGGATCACCTCGTTCTACGAAGTCAGTAGTTAACGGAGAATCGTACTTGTACATAAGCGGATATATATATATATATAAACATCTCAAGTAATTATTTGTATCCTATCTAGTTTGTATTTGGACAACTAGTTGAAAGTAGTTAAAAGTTTAAAAATCATCTTTGAACGTGACTCAATCAATTAGGAAGAATTTTTAACGACCACATAAATAGCTCAAATACAAATAACCGGTTATTGATCGTATCTATGAATATAGATAGACTGAACTAAGTCGCTACACTATTTTATATCAGTACTATAATATCAATGGTAAAACATAAAAGTTTGATTAGAAAGAAAAGTATTAAGATGGGGTGTAAAGGTATGAAGTAAGAAAATTTAGAAGAAAATGAAGAGTAAATACAGGAAATGTAGCTGTCTTTGTTAAAACGTTTATATCTTCTTTTTCATAATATCTGTATCACTTATGCAATTTTTTTTCTTGTAACATTTATTGATTTTCTTACTTTATCAACTATATTTTTGATCACTTCGATTATTTTGAAGGTATTAAGAGTTTTGTTAGGGCGGTAGTTGACAAAATCGGTGAATGAACGGGGAAAATTGGTGTGTATACAATATTTTAATAAATAGTCATGGGCTATTGTAGCTGCAGTTTAAAAATAATTCTTATGCTACACACATCACAGTGAATTCTAATCCTATTAATTCGTTTTTTACTATCAAACAACAGTTTCAAAAAGTCACTTACTTGAGAAGACAACTGACTGTATTGAGAAGTTTCTTGATCGTTAAACTGGATAGATGATAAAAGTAATAACACCATGTGAAGTTGATTCACGTCCACTTACACGTGAATCCAAATTTTTGTACTCCTAAAGTAATATATGATAACAAATAACATAACTAGATGTAATACATTTAAAATGGCTAGAATGAATATTCATTTATTTACGGCAAAACAGTAGTGCAGATGAATGTAATGACCATAGTAAATACAATTTGGAAGGTTATTAAGGAACTTTAGACCGAACATTTTGCTCCTTCAACGGCTGTAATACTGTGGTGCGAACTACTTATAAGTAGTATATGACGTGAGTGTCAACGTAATATCTGGCAGCGGCAGATGGGGGAAGATCAAGAAAGGAAGAGTTAGAAAACAATGGAATTTGTATGAAACGCATGAATAGTGACAATGGATTGATGTTTGGCAACAGGAACAGTCCAGTTCGATATGATGAACTGATATTTTGCAAATGAACGATTTACGATATGGTTTTCCGATTTTACTGAGTAACTCTGTAATTTTCGTTAAACACAATTCGGTTGCCCCACCTGTGTTCTCGATCACTACAATACATTTAAGTACATGTATATTTCAAGAAAAGAAAATATAATGTTAAGTCATACAGATAAAGATGCTGGCATTGTGATCATGACCTGGAGGTGCTTGGAATCAGTGGAACACACTGGAAACAGCTTGGATAAATAAGACTAGCTTCAGGAGAGCTGCTGCTCTACTGCGGTCATAAGAAATAAAATGATCCACACACAAGGAGTTGCACTGGTGCTATCTAAACAAGCACGAAATGCACTGATAGGATGAGAATCTCATGGACCTAGGATCATCAAACCATCCTCCTTAACAAAACAAGGAGGAATTATAATGAACGTCATCCAATGCTATGCGCTTACCATCGACTACAATGCAGACACTAAAGATCAATTCTACGAGCGACTGCAGTCAATCATCGATAGATGCTCATCAAAGAACTTGACGATACTGATGGTAGACCTAAATGCCAAGGTTTGCATGGACAACATTGGACATGAAGACACCATAGGACGACATGGTCTGGCAGAAAGGAACAAAAGCGATGAAGCAGTTGCAAACCTATGTGCCTTAAACAAACTGGTCATCGGTGGCACAATATTCCCACACAAATGCATGCACAAAGCTATATGGATTTCACTGGACCACACTACACAAAACCAAATCGACCATATCTTTATCAATACGAAGTTCGAAAGGGCAATGGGGTATGTAAGAACCAAGAGAGGAGTTGAAATAGTCTCAGATCACCACTTGCTGGTCGCTAAGATGAAACTGAGACTAAAGAAGCACTGGACAACAGGGCGGACAACATCTCAAAAGTTTAATACATCATTTCTTCAGGATACTGGAAAACTCAACGAATTGAAGACGGACCTCAGCAACAGATTCCAAGCTTTTCACAATCTACTCAATGGAGAGGAAATAACAAAAGAGGACAACTGGAAAGGGCTCAAGGAATCAATCACCTCAGCATGTCATGAGGTTCTGGGCCACAAGAACCACCATCACAAGGAAAAGATCTCTGTTCATATTCTGGATAAGATTCAAGAAAGGAGGAACAAGAAGGCAGAAATCAACGTCAGCCAAACAAGTACAGAGAAAGTTAAGGTACAAACAGAATACACAAAAGCAAACAAATAAGCGAAAAATGAACTCTTGAATCGACTAACCCCATTGAGTCCAGCATCGAAGCAGCATCCACGGACCTCCCAATCAATGTTGATCGACCACCAATTGAGGATATTAGCATGGTCATCAGGCAAATCAAGGGCGGCAAAGCAGTGGGACCAGACAAGTGTGAGAACTATAGAGGCATCAATCTTCTCTCAATACCAAGTAAAGTCATCAACAGGGTGTTGTTAAACAGAATGAAGTACTTCGTAGACGCCCAACTTTGAGATCAACAGGCTGCATTTGGTATGGATTGATTGTGTACCGACCAAATTGCAACATTACGGCTCGTTGAGGAACAATCAATTGAATGAAACTCACTACTCTACATCAATTTTATTGACTACGACAAGGCATTTGACAGTGTGGACAACACAACACTATGGAGGCTTCTTCAACACTACTGCGTGATGGATGAAACCGCGAAACTGTGCATGAAGGACAGCTCATAGTCTTGTTCGAAATGAATGCCGGTGTCAGACAAGGTTTCTTACTCTCACCTTTTCTCTTCCTCTTGGTTATCGACTGAACTGAAGACGTTGAAATCTGGGGGGAAGCACAGGATACAGGGGACAGCTAGGGTATAGCTGGACAATCTAGACTTCGCAGTTGAATTGGCTCTTCTGTCACACATGCAACAACAAGTGCAAGAGAAAACGACACGTATAGCACCATCCTCAGCAGCTGGTCTTAATATACACAAAGCGGAAAGCGAAATCCTCCGATACAACACAAAATGCACCATCCAAATCATACATGACGGTGAAGCTTTGGGGAATGTAACGACCTTTACATATCTGAGTGGAATCACTGACGAACAAAGTGGATCGAATGAAGATGTGAAGGCGCGGATCAGCAAAGCAAGGAAATGAAACATCATCTGAACAACATCTGGAACTCAAAACAACTATCAACCAACACCAAAGTCAGAATATTCAATACAAACATCAAGACAGTTCGATTGTATGCGGTGGAAACTTGGAGGACTACAAAAGCCATTATCCAGAAGATACGAGTGTTTATTAACAGTTGTTTACGCAAAATACTTCAGATCCATTGGCCAGACACTATCAGCAACAACCCACCGTGGGAGAGAATAAACCAGATTTCAGCGGAGGAGAAAATTAGGAAGAAGCTTTAGAAGTGGATAGGACATACATTGAAGAAAGCACGCAACTGTATCACAAGACAATCCCACACTTGGAATCCTCAATGCCAAAGGAAAAGAGGAGGGCCAAGGAACACATTGTGCCGAAAAATGGAAACAGAAATGAGTTGAATGAACAACAGCTGTACAGAACTGGAAAGGGAAGCTCAGGACAGAGTAGGCTGGAGAATGCTGTTCGGCGGCTAATGCACCATTTGAGGTAATAGGTGTAATTAAGTGTTGTTACCATGAATCGAAAGGACTAAATTTCAAAAATTATTCTTCATTTTAACAGCAAAAATGTCTTTAGACAAAATGTCCAAAATGATGCAACAGAATAAAGCGTGCAGAAATTAATTAAAATTCTTGAGAAAATAGAAGATCAATCAGTTATCAGTGGAACCTCTAAAACATCTTGGACAAGCTGGATCTGTTATTCCACAATTATTTAGAATTCCCTATACGTTATATACTAAATGTGAAGAACCCATCATATCACGATACTGTTAAATGGTTAGCTGAGATAACACGACCAGTTAGAAACTGACTCAGTAGATACAGCACTGCTGAATTGTTCGATTTCGTTAATTCTATACCAGATGTCAACGTAACCGGAAAGATGACTTTATTAAATATTAACCCTCTTTTCGCAAATGTGCCTCTCACATAAACAATCTGTCTACTATTTGATTATATTGAAAACAATGAATACGATATCTTACTCAAATAAACTACCTGAAAGAACTACTCAGTTGATGTACTTTTATTGTTCATTTTATATTTTAAAATTATTCCTGGTGACAAACTGACGGAATGGGAATGAAGTTACACTCGAATCACTTTCGGCTGAATTTTTCGTAACTAATCTCAAAAACGGTTTACTTAAACCGACAATCAACAGCCGTCCGCGTAAGAAATATATTTAGATGGTAAATTGTTTGTGACAAAAATATCAATGTCAATGACATCCTGGATCGTTTCACTAACTGTTACCAATTAATTTAGTTTATAATCGAATCAGATTCAGATATAGGATTCTACTTCTTAGATGTTTTTTTAGGAATGGGATCTAATGGCTCTATGAAAAATGGATACGTAGAAAGCCAACCTAAAATTTTCTTGATTACATGTTTCAACAAGTAAATAGATAAATGAACAGCCACTCTACTGAAAATTGTTTAAAAACGTTAGAGTCAAGGTATATTTTCGTAAAACTATGTATGTGTATATGTATCAATATGGAAATGACAGTTCATTCATAAAACGCATTTTTATATTTTAGTGGAGCCATATTTGCAATGTGCACCTACGAGGAAGGTCCTACGATCATGCAACAAGGCTATAATCATGGGCAAATCAAAAACTTTCTCACTAAAGGGATAACATTTATAACATCAAGTGTTGCAAACAGTTTTGAAAGCAATAAACTTGAAATATAGATCATTAAAAATATTGGATACCTTACGTTTTTAGTCCTGTGAATACATACTTAAGTTAGGGAAAACTGAACAAAACACTAACCAACACATAAAATGAAGCGCGGAAATAAATAATTAAAGTTATACTCTAACGAATACATATCACACATTGACATACGGGGGTACAGAAAGTGTCAGGAAGAGCAGACCATACAGTGCGCAGCTTTTGTGCAACCTAGACATTTATTATTTTAAACACCACAAATTACCAGACTTAAAAACAAAATCCTGGATAACCTACCAACAGTAAGGCTACTATTTTCATGATGATAAGGCACTATTTTCGGAACGCAAATGGTCACGTAATGCCTTTATGTCCTGACGAAGCCCACTCCTATCTTAGCTCAGAAACTACCTTGAGAATAGAAAGTTTCGCACCAAGGTAAATAGAGTTCACGCGAGCTGGTGAGTATCCACATCCGGAGTTTCACAGGGGACCATCCTAGGCCCACTCCTCTTCCTGATATTTATTAATGACCTGTTAGGCTTAGTTAGATCACCGGCATTGATCTACGCAGACGATGAGAAGATCTGGAGGTCCATTAGAAGCGAAGAGGATTCGACTGAGCTTCAGAAGAACCTTACATCTATTGAGAAATTGGCATTGAAAAACGGTTTAGGACTCAATCAACTGATCTGCCACGTCATGCATCTCCTGCCTCATATGACGCAAACGATCTATACCCTCAATGGAAATCCGCCTCCTAATATCTCCTCAGGGAGCGATCGCGGTTTAATAACCACAGAAGGCCTCCACACCAGTCCAAACTATGTGGGGGATGCAGCCAAGGCAAATGCAACTCTTCACTTAATGCGAAGACAGCTTGATGATATCACCCGGAAATTATTTTTAACCCTGTTTAAGACGTACGCATGCCCACACTTGGAAGTTCACAACGTCATTGCACCCCCTCTGCTTAAAAGAGACATTAATCTCTTGGATCGAGTGCAGAGACGAGCAACCAGATGGGTGATAGGGTGATAGACTCCAGCTCTTGGGATTATTTCCACTTAGCTACAGGAGAATCAGAGGTGATCTGATCATGGAGTACGACATATTAAGCACGCAAAACCATCCCATTGTGAGCACCTTAACGAAGCATCACCACCACTTCCCTCGAGGAAATCCTCGAAAAATTGCACACCAAAAGGCGATTACTCAGATTCGCGCACACATTTTCTCATTGCGAGTCGTCGCAACTTGGAATGCTCTCCCAGCCGAGGTAACCACAGCCCCCTCAGTAGACAGCTTTAATAAGAGACTTGATAATCACGGATTATCATCTCCCTCTTGGACAAGCTGTTCATGATGCATATCTTGAGACCTGCTAGTTGTTATCACTGCCATCTCCTCAGATCACTCAATTGATCTATCTAGCCTATTATCTATGTTTGCTTACACTTCGGTTCACTCTCACAATCAGCAATACCAATTAACAAACAAAATTCATCTATATATTCCTCAGTTCTGAAATTTTATTATTATTTTCCTCATTACTCTTCACATTGCAACTAACTGATCTCCCGTCTGATAATGTGGCGGCTGCTAGTATCCAGAAACCCTACTGCCCTGAAACAAACGTTTTCATTCAAATCCCGAGACATACAAACTCACAACCAACTGCCAACTGACTAGAATTAAACAGTCGGGTGGCTAGACCTCCAACCATTGGACATCACCGAACACCTGGAACCGTACCGAAAGAACAAGAATAGTGCTAGAATAAATAAAATTGGCTTACACTAGCTCGTGAAAAAGATATTGGGTACTGGACTGACATATTGTGCGTGCACCGGAGTTTTACTTTATACATAATTCGATTTCCTGCTGTTTGCCGCAGGAACCGTTTGAAAGTGTGTGATAAGCAAGGGAACTACATCATTTCTGGCTGGAGAATCCTTTTTGAATGTTTTGTTTTTTGGAAAATCCCTCCATGTTTACATATTTTTGTTATGACATGACGGACTTTTTCTGTTGACAGTTTTGATAGTTTATTTGATTCCAATTTGAGATTTTATCATTGTATATTGTTATTATTTCTATATTTTGTACTTATATTGAAGTTTATTTGTTTGCTTCTGAACTGTATATGTTGTTTAAATTTGATCTTTAATATGGCCACAGCCATATTTGGATTGATACGGTGGCGGTTGGACTTAACGTCACTTATTCCCCTTTGCCGTGGATACTCTTCGGAGTAATTGTGACCTGGAAAGTGCATCAACTCCAGGTATTGCTTTGTATTTCAATCTTTTAATTAATATAGACCGTTTTCTCCTAGAACTGTTGCGTTTTCTGGACTTTGGACTGGGAGATACGCGTTCAGATTGCACTTATTGGAAACCATTTGAACTGCCACGGTAGAAATTTATTTACACTTTTATCTCTGCAAGCTGTTGAGGAGGACCTAATTTACTTTTCATATGTTTCATAGTTCGATGTGAGGAATATCAGTGCGGTACAAAATATTTATTGTGTAAATATGTTTTTCAGATAATAATAATAATGATAACAATAATAATAATAATGCATATTTGTCTAAAGATTTCGGTTTATATCTATTAATTTTATTAAAAATATTTAAATGGACATTGCCATCCGCCGGACTTTATAGAATACCGGTATGCATAACCTAAGCAGCAAGAAGCAAAAGCGAAGATGTCAATTGGTTGGCATTGAATATTGGATAATTTCTGGCTTCGGTGTCTGAATGTGAGCCTATTGAAAGATTTTATGCTAATGATAGTTGTCATATCGAATCCTAACAAAGTACTGGGAAATTATGACAAATATCGACTACGACTGATCAAATAAGCAGTTCCCCGAGACAAAGTATTTTAGTCTCACCTCATTGTACTACATCTCATGATCTAGGCTACACTTGAATATCTCCCTACCAACAGATTGAACAAATCATCCAGTAAACTTCTCTATGTTTAACCGTAGCATGAGTTTGTACAACTTGAATTTATCCGTCTCTTTATCTAACTTACTTGACATGTTCATATCTTTCAGTAATATTTTGCTTATATCTTGTTCTCGGTTATTATATGTTCAACTTGGATGATCATGCGGTTAGCAGCCAATTTTAATACACTTATCTTTTTGCCTGTTAGTTACTTAGGACGCTTGATCAATCATTTGTTTGCATAAATATGGAGGGTTCTCAAATCCTACTCATCCGTTTATATTCATTTTCTCATCGTGTGTTTGCTAGATGTCTGCCTTTTGTTGTGCAACTATTATCACCGCTAATGTTGTCTTTTGTAAAATTGTCAACCGCATGCAAAACTATCCCAATAACGTGGATATAATTTGGAGGTCACTAACCGCAAAAGCAACCTTCCTAATTTAATGCAACATTCATCCTGTATTTGAAAATTAGGGAGGGATCCACCAGATTCTGTGCTGTCTTCCGGCTAAATCAAACAACGCTGTCGGATACTGTAGCTGAATATATAAAGAATCATAGTAAGAAAGGATCCTCTTTTCATTTGGAGTATGGAATTACTACTCGTAAGATGGTAAGTGTCTTGTGGCACGTGCTCCTAACCAAACAATCCTTAAACCTGAACATACAATGACAGAGAACATCTGTATTGGTAACTGAACACCAGAATAGGGACAACAAGTAATAACGCCGGAAACCCCGCGCATGATAAAATAGGTCAGCCATACATGCATGGTCTTTCAGTAAAAACTCATTAGTATCGTTTTAGATATATTACCTTATGATCATCCTAAATGCTCAAAATCAGCATGCCATGTGGCTTTAAAATGAAATTAACAATCATGTTGAATCGAACAGTCGCCAAACTAAGTAATATTAGGTGATAAATGCTGCATTTCACGCATATTTATTGAAGGTAATTAACTAATTCATCAAGGTAATCGAAAGGAGAAAAAATAACGTAGCTATTACGTCGGCTAGAAACTGAAAGTTCCATGTAGTCGGCGTCGTCGAGTTTGGCGTTTAGGGAGAACAGCTGAGATGATGTTTTACTAGAGACTCAAAAAATTCGTAACCTAAACGTAAAGCTGGGGTAACATGATCAGTGATAATGAAAAATCACACCATGAGTCAACTTTGATCTCTATCAAGTAAATTAAATTACATGTCACTATCAATGTCTGTACATGTTAGCTGCATATTTTTAATGCAAAATTATAACAATGTAAGCTACAGTTAATAAAAATTTCAAATTACTTGTTGGTTAGTTACTTAGGCACTATTGAAGATAGCAACGGGAATCAGATTTGTTAGCCAATAGATCGTTAGTTTTCATGAAAATTCTCATCGGCTTCTGCTAACCATGCATTTGTTTTTCTGGACTGCCATAGAATAATCCGTAAACCTGCTGAACGACAAACTTCATGTAGTAATGAAGAATTAGAATTTCTCCATGTATAATTCGTAGTTTGTACTTTTGACTTCATTTTTCTCCACTGTCCTACTTTAGAGTTGGATTATAAAGGAAAGGTAAAACGGTATCCAAAGTTAAAAAATAATTGGCAGTGAAGATATCCAGTTATTCAAACTTTTCTCGTTGTTGCCATGGAAAAATTTCGGATAGTAGTATTCTAAAGTTCTGCATACATGATATTTGTTATTTAACGCTACTACGAGTACAACACGTATTTTATGGTGATTTTCACTTCGAACCGGAGGACAGGTATGTAGTACTGGTGTCAGGTTTCCGTTTAACATGAAAGAGTCCTTGATATGCTGTTGTTCGCAATCTTTCCTCATAATACGATCGTAAATCAGGCGAATCTAGGAGCAAAGTATAATGGGATACAAATATTTATTTAAATGAAAGAACAGTGTACCCTATGTGTGTGTAACAGAATCGGACAAGCAGCCGCAATGGATGTGAAACAGGAAATGCGATAATATGAGACGACTCCATACACAGCTTGTATAACCTGCTACCGAACCAACAGTTAAAGCACTGGTTTATTATATTGCGTTAAGTTTAAACGTTTAAACATAGCGAACGTGAATGGTCATAAATGATGCAGCCTTGATTCCCAGGATTAATAATTTCTAAATATAAATAATCCTGCATAATTCGTTAAAAACTGGATGAGATATCAATCAAATACCTGAAACCATACCGAAAGGACAAGAATGGACTAAAAATAAATCAATCCATTTATGCTAGCTTGTGAAA